GGCAGTGGCAGGCAGAGGGAGAGGCAGGTTCCCTGCTGAGCAAGGAGCCTGATGCGGGACTTGATCCCAGGATCCTGGGATCATGACCTGAGCCGAAGGCAGATGCTTAACCGACTGAGCCACCCAGGTGTCCCTAATGTTTTAGGTCCTTTGCATATTGAAGGCTTTATTCTATCTTATAGCTTATTGATCGTTTGAGTTGTATAAACTTAAATTGCAAGTCAAAATTTCCCTCAAAAATTTGAAGATAATTTAAAACTGTCTTCTATCTTCTAATGTTGATTTTTAAGGAGTCTCTCAATTGTGATTTCATGTCTTTTGTATGAGACCTGTTTTCTTCTCTCTGGAACGTTCTAGGACGTTTTCTTTATCTCAGGTACTTTGAAACTGCACAGTGAGGTACTTTGTAGCTTTTCTCCCTTTACTGGTGCTTGGGTGGGTCCCTTAATCAGGAAATTATGCCCTTCAATTCTGAGCATTTTTCTTGAATTATTTCTCTGATAGGTTTAAGTTCTTCCATATTTTCTTTCTTCTATATTTTCTTCTTCTATATTTTCTCTGGTCTCTTCCTACAGATCTTTTTATCAGAAATTGCCTCTTGCATACTGATCTTTAAATTTTCTCTCTTTGTTATTTTGACCTAGGAAATTTCAATTTTATCTTCTGAGCTTAATTCTGCATTTAAAGTCTGCTATCATGTTAATGCCTGGAAACTTTTCTTAAAATAAATCTGTTCTTATTTCATGGAGGAAATATTTTACCCTCTCTGGATAAGGGGTTGGCTAACTAAGCCCACACAGGAAATCTGGTCCATATTTTGTTTTTGTACAGCCTGCAAGGCAGGAATGATATTCACATTTTCAGACGGTTAGAGAAAAAATAAAGAATACGGGTGTAGACTGGACATGGCCCAAAAAACCTAAAATATGTATTGTCCACTTCTTTACAGAAAGAGTTTGACCAACCTCTGTTTTATACAGAGACCTGACCAAAAAGAACAGCCAACCTCTGTTCTAATGCACTGTTTCTGTTTTCTACCAGTTCTTCCACCCTGTTTTTGTTTTGTTGGTATAGTTTTGATATTGTTTTGGTCTGTATTTTTCATGTTACAGACTTTTTTTGGTTATCTGGTGATCACTCTTTGCACTTACATAAGAGTAAAGTATGAAAACATTGATTGGTAGCTCTGCCTACATGGGTATGGCTTATATCCTGGGAAGCTGTGCCAGAGTAAGGTACTTTGGTAGGAAGAGGACCACTTTACTACTATCTGTAGGTCTTTACTCATGAGGTAATTAGTATCCCTAGACAGGAATACTGTACTTTCCTGCCTTGGAGATATAAGATTGATTATAAGCCTATTCAGAGCTGAGAAGAAAAGGGGGGTAGAGTTCTCACATTCCATAAACAGACTTTTCTTAACCCCCATCTTTAGTACATCCTTCATCCTGGAGTTGAAGAACATATAAATTCTCTAATACAATCTCTCCAGAGAGTAAATTTGAGTGGGGAAGGGGGCTGTCTACTTACAGTAACTTGCAATCAATTATTTTGTGATTAATCCTACTTTAAATGATACTTTAGAGTGCCCCCACATCCCAAGTTCTTCCATGCCTGAATCTGAAGAATCTTGTTGACTTTCACAACAGCTTTCTTTTGCCTGCTAAGTCACTCAATCATTCATCTGTTCTTCAGTGTTCAAAATTTGCTGACATCTCATCTCCCACTCCTTTTAACTTTGTAGTTTTGGCATTTTTATTTTTATTCCTTTAGTTTTGAGAGGGGTGAAGATTAATATAAATGCTTGATTTTTCCAGAGATTTAAAACAATCTAAATTTTATATGACTTTTTAAAAATATTATTTTAAAGCAGGTTCTGAGGCATCAGACCACAAAATTAAGCAGGACAGGAAGATGGATATTGCCAATATTATAGACCAGTGTTGAAAATTAATGGAAAGTTGGGGTGCCACTCTATTTTTTATTCCATTTTGGTTTATTTTAACGTGTTCTAAGGTAGAAAGGCATTTAAGTTACCAAAACAGTTCAGAGAAAAGAATTTCACCTTTTCTTTTTTCCATTGTTTTCATTCTGCCTCGTTCAAATGAATTATGCCCACTTGAGACAAAGATTATACTTTCAGTAAAGCAGACCTGTTAGGAAACTCATAGTGCAGTTGTAACCTGGTCACAAAACCATCTGGTACATTCCCAAAGGCTGTTATTACATTTCATGGACTTATATTACTTCAAATACTCTAACAGTCCCATGTGGGCTTAAAAAAAAGATTTTTTTTTTAAACTCAATTTGTTTCTGCTTACTTTAGACCTTCTAGACTTATCCCTTATAAGAAGAGTGCCTGGTTATAAGTACCTTTATGTTAATCAATACACATTATGAGTTTTATCAAGTGATGTAAAACATTCACTTGATTTTTAAATGAGTATTTCTTTGTAATAAAAAGTTGCTACTTGTTGATACTGTTTCCCTGAAAATCAATACAATGACAGTTAGGCTATCAATTTTTTTAATTAATAATAAAATATGAAAACTACAGTGTTATATATCATTGTTACAAACACATGTCTTTTTATGAAATTCTAGAAAAGTATGTTTTGAAGCTCCAGATGCTCTCTGGCCAACATGGTATAGTGGACCATTTTTCATGATACCATTTTTCATGAATTCAACAAGTATTTATTGAGCATCTATGCCCCAAGCTGAGGCAGAGTTGGTTGCTGAGAATGTAAAATACATGTTTAGGGAAGCAGACAGATATATAAACAGGTTATTACAATATAATGAGATATATGTATAATAGAGATATGTGTAATAGATAATATGTGTAATAGAGATAATGTATAAACTACTATGGGTTTCCTAAGGTGTAAATAACTAGTTGGAAAAGTAAAAAGAAATCTTCATAAAGGACATGACCTTCAACTAGGTTTTGATTGCTAAACTTGCCAAATGAATTGTCCGATAGCTTGTTATGCCAAAGCAGAGAGTAGTGAAAGGATATGGTATGTTTAATAATAAGATGTTCTTTGTTTAACAGTGAGAGCTTTAGAGGATAAAGGTAGGGTCTAAAGATGAAAAAGCAGGTCCTGAGGTTTTACAAGTAGGTGGGGCCAAGATATGAAGGCCCATTTAGTAATTACGTGATATTAGACAAGTAATTTCATCTCTTACAACCTGTTTAATATATGTAGAAAATGTTTATAAATGACAAAGTAGGATACAAATATATTTTTGCTTCAAACGATTTCTTAAAATTCAGTGTATTGCCTATATTAAAAGGAAAAAATAATAACTGAGGTAAGAATATTTACTGTCCTGAAATTAAGTACACTGACTAAAAGTCAAGAATTTTAAATAATATTCAGGTTCCCCTAGAAACTATTTGCTGAATATTAAAATACAAATACAAGAACACAAAACAGGTCAACAACAGGGAGACACCAAGTAAGCAGATGAAATGCTGCAAGAACAATTTATAGTGCAACATGATGCCAAGTACCAATGAAATTTCTAGGCAGAGAAGGGCAGCAGCTTAACCATATCAGTAGATTAACCATAGAACCGAATCATTCAATTTGAAGGGAAATACCTGCAGAATATCATTTTTAAATGATGGGGTAGGGAGTGGGTGATGTGTTCTGGGACTTAAGTCCAGCTGTTGTAGTCCCATCATTAGCTATCTGTAAATCTGAACTCAAATGAAATCTAATATGTGTAAATAGGCTAATGTGAGTGAACAAGATGAGAAAAATTTAAATTCTGGATTTGGTTAGGTCAGATTACAGTTAGGTGTGGGTCTTTTGGCTGAACAGAAAATATGTCAAATGGTCATGTTTTCATGATTTTATTCTTAACCTGTGTTCTTTTATTTTGATTATATGAGTGTCTTACAGCTTCCACAAGAAAAAATTATTACATGGTTTTAACTAGTTACAATTTCATGAATAGAGAATATAAAATATTAGGTTATTAAAAGTCTAAGGATTAAAGTGTTTATAAATTAAATGCTATGTTCTACAACATGAAAATTATGTTATAAAATGGTGACTTAATAACTAGCTCCACAAAGCACAAATCTTAATGGACCAGAATCCTTAGGAAAAGAAGTATTATAATTAAATGTTATTAGTTGGCATTAATTCCTTAGCTTTAAAATTTTTTTTTAATTTTATTTTTTCAAAGATTTATTTATTTGAGAGCGAGAGAGAGAGAGAGAGTGCACACAGGGGGACGGACAAGGGTGACAGAGAATCTCAAACTGACTCCTGGCTGAGCTTGAAGCCTGAAGTGGGGCTTGATCTCACAACCCTGAGATCATGACCTGAGCTGATACCAAGAGACAGATGTTCAACGAACCGAGCTACCCAGCTGCCCCTAAAAGCATGGTTTCTTTTAACTCTTCTTGAATGGTTTGCTTTATACCCATAAAACCATCATCTAGGTTCTGATGTTCACAAGATAAAATTTTTACTGTTTGGTGGTGAACTTCTCTAAACATTTACTGAGTACCCTTCTGGGTTAACATTCATTGTTTGATCAATCATAAATCTTCTTAAACTTTAGCAAATTTTGAGGTTTTAGGGTTTCATTTACTCTTTTCAGCTTTCACTTGTGACATCTATCATTAAAAATATATCAGTTCCTAAGGTTCTAGTAAAAGAAAATGCTATCAGGGCGCCTGGGTGGCTCAGTTGGTTAAGCGACTGCCTTCGGCTCAGGTCATGATCCTGGAGTTCCGGGATCAAGTCCTGCTTCGGGCTCCCTGCTCAGCAGGGAGTCTGCTTCTCCCTCTGACCCTCCCTCCTCTCATGTGCTCTCTCTCTCTCATTCTCTCTCTCAAATAAATAAAATCTTTAAAAAAAAAAAAAGAAAAGAAAAGAAAATGCTATCAAATTTATCCTAAGAAGTAGCAAGACTATCTTTTCTATAGCCCTGGCCACAGATAATATTACAGTAACATTACATTAAATTTCACTTACCTACCTAGGGCCTGGTTTAAGGCCCTATATGCTTGAATATCATACCACTGACGGCCAGGTAAAAGACCTCTCAATTTTGAGTGCTGATCATTGTATTGTCGCTTTAGTTCAACCTAATAATTTAAGAAATATTAAAAATATAGTAGATAAATTAAGACTCATTTTAAAAATCATATTAAGTTCTAACATTCCGAACACCATTTTATTAAGGTAGAGAGATTTTGTTTTTCAGTATATCAGTATTGAATTTTATTCAATTCCTTTAAAACATGTCTACTCAGGGACGCCTGGGTAGTTCAGTCAATTAAGCATCTTGCTTTCAGCTCAGGTCATGATCCCAGGGTCCTGAGATCAAGTCCCACATTGGACTCCCTGCTCAGTGGGGAGCCTGCTTCTCCCTCTGCCACCACCCCCCCAATTGTGCTCTCTCTCTGATAAATAAAATCTTTAAAAAATAAATTAAAAATTAAAAAAAAATGTCCATTCATCCTTACTTTTCCTGAATTCCTCCACGCAACTCATTAATTAGCTGTTTGATTAAATCAAAAGTTTTATTAAGAAATAGTTTACATAGAATAAAATTCACAAATTTTCAATGTATACATAGAGAAATCTTGACAAATGTATTGTCATGCAACCACCACCATAACTTTAATATAGAATATTTTCAGCACCCCCTAAATCTCCTTTCTATTCCTTTTCAGTCTCTCTCCTTCATTGCTTTGTCAACCAATGATCGGCTTTCTGTTTTGCCTCTTCTAGAATTTCTTATAAAGGTTATTACACAGTATGTAATCGTTTGTCTTTTTCATTTAGCATAATGATTTTGGAATTCGTTCATGTTGAAATATACATCAAAGGTTCATTTTTTAATGTTTTTCAGACTGATAATCTCTGCTTTTTAATTGCGATGTTTAGACCATTCACATTTAATATAAATACTGCTATGATTTGGCTTTATATCTACAGCAGCAGAATACACATTCTTCTCAAGTACACATGGAATATTCTCCAGGATAGATTATATGTTGACCACAAAATATGTCTTAAGAAATTTAAGAAGATTGAAATCATATAATGTATCTTTTCCAACAACAATGGTGTGAAATTAGAAATCAATAACATGAGGAAAACTGGAACATTCACAAATATGTGGAAATAAATATCACAACTGAACAATCAATGGATCAAAGAAGGAATAAGAGAACTCAAAAAGTATCTTGATACAAATGAGAATGGAAATACAACAAACCAAAAATATCAGATGCAGCAAAAGCAGTTCTAGGAGAAAAGTTTATAGTGATAAACATCTACAGTGAGAAAAAAACAAAGATCTGAGATAAACAACCTAACTTTCCATTTTAAGAAACTAGAAAAAGAACAAACAATCTCAAAGTTAGCTTAAGGATGGAAACTAAGATGAGAGCAGAAATAAAATTAAGGCTAGAAAACAACAGAAAAAAATGGTTGAAAGAGTTGGTTTTTTTAAAACATAAAACTGATAAACTTTTTGCTAACTAAGCAAAAGGAAGGGTCAACAAATTATAAATGAAAGAGTACATTACAAGTGATACTACAGAAATACAAAGGATCATAAGAGACCACTGTGAACAATTATATGCCAAAAAATTAGATAACCTAGAAGAAATGGATAAATTCCTACAAATATACAAGCTACCAAGATTAAATCATGAAGAGATAGAAAATCTGAAAAGATCTGTAACAAGAAAAATGAAGCAGTAATCAAAAATCTCTGAATAAAAACAATCCCAGGGCCAGATGGCTTCATTGATGAATTCTATTGAACATTTAAGATAGAATTAACAATGTTCCTTCTCAAATGCTTCCAAAATATTGAAGAGAAGGGAAAACTTCCAAAATCATTTTAAGAGGCCAGCACTACTCACATACCAAAGCCAGATAAGGATGCTACAAGAAGAGAAAATTACAGGCCTATACCCCTATATGATAAGCATTGTTGCAAAAATCCTCAACAAAATATCAGCAACTGAATTCAACAGCACATTAAAAGAATTAGACACATGATCAAGTGGGATTTATCCCTGGAATGCAAGACTGGTTTAACTACACACAAATCAACAAATGTGATACACCACATTAAAAGAAGCAGAAAAAGCATCTGAGAAAATTCAACATCCTTTCATGATTAAATATAAAAGGAATGTATCTCAACATAATAAAGGCTATATATAACAAGCCCACAGCTAATATCATACTCAGTAGTGAAGAGTTGAAAACTTTTCTTCTAGTATTAGGAACAAGACAAAGGTTCCCACTCTAACCACTTCTATTCAACAAAGTACTAAAAGTCCTAGCCAGAACAATTAGGCAAGAAATAAAAGACATCCAAACCAGAAAGGAAGAAGTAAAACTATCTTTGTTTGCATATGACATGATCTTATATGTAGAAAACCCTACAGACTCTACCAAAAAACTGTCAGCACTAATAAGCAAACTTAGTAAAGTTGGAGGATATAAAACCAACATATAAAAATCAGCTGTATTTCCATACACTAACAACAAACTATCCAAAAAAAGAAATTAGGAAAACAGTCCCATTTACAATAGCATCAAAAAGAATAAAATACTTTGGGATAAATTAAGCCAAGGACATGAAAGATCTTTACACTGGAAACTGTAAGACACTGATGAAAGAAATTGAAGAAACACAAATAAACAGAAAGATCCTGTGCTTATGCATTGAAATAATTAACATTGTTAAGATGTCCTTACTACCCAAAGTGATCTACAGATTCAATGCAATCCCCATCAAAATCCAAAAGTCATCTTTTACAGAACTAGATGAATGATGACTGGCTGGCAACCCACACGAAAAGACGCTTAACTTTACTAGTCTAATGAAGAAATGCAAATTTAATAATCCCATTGCTTTATTTATTTATTTATTTATTTGACAGAGAGAGAGAGAGAGAGAGACCATGAGAGAGGGAACACAAGCAGGGGGAATGGCAGAGGGAGAAGCAGGCTTCCCGCGAAGCAGGGAGCCCGATGTGGGGCTCGATCCCAGGACCCTGGGATCATGACCTGGGCCAAAGGCTGACGCTCAATGACTGAGCCACCCAGGCGCCCATCCCATTGCTTTTATCTGAAGAATATTGACAAATATTTACCAAAGTGTTTATATTTTTCTACAAGTACAAATAGAATTATACAAGGATATTCACTGCATCTCTGCATTGAAAACAAGTAACAACCTATTAAGTGGATTAATTATATTACATTTATTCTGAGATAAATATTGGATTAAAATATTTATACATTTTGACATGGAAATTTAACCAAAATATATTTTGTAAGTAAAAATCAAGTAAAACGCACACACACACACACACACACACAGAACCAGGTATCAAGTTTTTAAATAGGACCACAATTTAGAGCAATACCAATTCTAAACAAAAAGACTTAAACCAAAACTCTGACAAGAACCACAGGAGAGACAGAGTTTAAAGATTATGTACTTTAGAGCTTTTCCAATATCTCCCCTAGAAAACTGTCAAATCATGCTCATACAAGTTCAAGATGATCAGCTACTAACTGACCTACAAAAAACAAAAATCAGTATTTTTCAGAGAATAATGGAGTCCAGAATCTCTATAATGTACCATCTACAATGTCTAGTGTACAATAAAAATCACTAAAAAGTGTGATCCATAATCAAAGAGAAAAAAAAAAAAGACAGTCAACAGAAACCAATCTAGCAAGGCCCCAGCTGTTGGAATTAGCAAACACTTTACTGTAGCTATTACTAAGTTATTTAAATAACTTAGAAACATACAGTTTAATGAATGGACTTTAGGGAATCTCAGTAGGGAAGCGGAAACTATAAAAAAGACCCAAATGGAAATTCTACACCTGAAAAATACAGTAAACTGAAATAAAAATCCATTGGATGGGTTTAACAGCATTTTGGAGAAGATAAAAGAACTAGTAAGTCTTAAGACAGATCCACAGAAGCAATGAAAAACATCAACTAGAGCAAAATAACTTCCCGCACACCAAAAATATAGGTGTAAAAGAATCCAAGCATATGAAAGCACTCAGTGATGATCTAAACCAATTTAAAATTCAGAGCTAACACAGTACTAATGCATTTGAGACAATATTTAGTGCCTCAAAGGCTCCACTATTATAAGATATCAAGAATCTCTTATGTTTCTCAGTGACTGAATCTACATTCATTTTCCTATCTAGGTACTAACACACAGTACTAACACACAGAAACTGTGTTAATCTTCTTTGCTGGAAAAGAAAGCACAATAAATTCTGCTATCTAGTCAATTGAACTTGATAGTATAATTATATCCCTTTTCAAAGAGACTCAGAATTAATTATAGGACATAAAACTGCATTCTACTAAAAGCTATGTCACACCAAAGGTTACCACATACCCAGCCTTCATCTGGTCTTCATAAAAACTGTTAAAATTACATCATCCTGAGAGTGGACTACTTTTATACAAGGTCAGAGTGTATGGTATACACAATTCAGACTGACCTACTTAAATATATAAGATAATGAGCTTTTTCCTGTAAAAGCTCTCCTCTAAAAAGATTCAAGTTCTGAGTAAAAGGAAATTATGCATTATGATTTTATATTTTTATAAACTAATTGAATGAAAAGAGTTGTGGGTTTTGTTTTGTTTTTTGAGAGAGAGAGAGAGAGAGAAAGAAGGAGGCAGGGAGGGACAAAGGGAGAGGGAGACAGAGAATCTTAAACAGATTCTGCGCTGGGCATGGAAATCAAGAGTTGGACACCCAACCAACTGAGCCACCCAGGCACCCCAAAGGGGTTATGTTTTAGGCAGTTCTCAAGAATGCTATAGAGTCAATTATGTCTCAATAAAGCTAAAATAAGAACCTAAATAAGAAAGAATGCTGTAGAAACATTAAAATAGAACACTTAAAATAGAAAAATTGATATAATGGGAGGAAGAAATTTTTGGTAGCTTAAAGAAAGAAACACTGAATTTAACTAATATTTAGTTTCACTTAGTACAAAGCATCTGTGATAGGCAGTAGAAATAATACAAAGATGAGTTAGGGGCACCTGGTTGGCTCAGTCAGTTAAG